TAGGGTTTAGGGTTTTGGGGCTCATGAAAAGGATTCTTATAAGGCCTTCGTGTCCGGGTGCAAGGCTCGAAGGCTTTTCTCTATGTTCGAAGCTCTCGCTTAGCTTCAGGGCAGCCCTAAACCCTAAACCCTAAACCCTAAACCGTAAACCGTTCTCTGCTCGTTTCAGGTTTCGCGCTTTCTGTCGCCGAAATGTGAGCAGTGGCGTGCTCATGAGGTTAAGTTCCAGGCGACCCGAACCCGCCCAAAATCCCTCACTCACCTTACCTACACCCTCAAGCTCCAAAGGGTTTCGGGTTTCGGGTTTAGGGCTTACATACCTTGAGCTCCGAAAAAGTCGTATAATACCCGAAGGCAGGCTAAACGTACCTTGAAGGCCGGATTCTGACTGTGAAGGCCCTTCTAATCGATCCGCAGGCTTCCAAGATGGAAGGGCCCGAGCCCCCTAAACCCTGATCCCTAAAGCCTAGTCCCTAAAGCCTGATCCCCAATCCCTAAGCCCTAAAGCCTAGTCCCTAATCCCGAAGCCCTAAGCCCTAAACCCAAAGCCCAAATCCTAAAGCCTAAACCCTAATCCCTAAACCCTGACCCCTAAAGCCTAATCCTTAATCCCTAAGCACTAATCCCTGAACCCTCATCCCTAAACCCTAAACCCGAAGCCCTTAACCCTGCCGGTCCTTGTTCCACAGGTCGTGGAGTCCATGTGCAACCGCCTGCCCGGCACCGCCACGAATCGAGCACCCAACATACAGGTTCAGGGTTGAAAAACTATGGGTTTAGCGGCCTTAAGATGCCCTAAACCCTCAGGCGAACACTTGTCTTTTGGCAAAAGCTCTAAACCCCGAAGCCCCGAGACATTAAATCCAAAGCCCCAAACCTCGCCAGGCCCAATGCCCTATCTGCCTAATGTAGGGGCCTTAATAATTAGAATAGGGCTATGGGACTGAAATATATTGTAAGTATACCATAATAAAGAACCCCCAAAGGGGTAGTGGTAATTGTTTAGGCTTCTATAGTAACATAGGGAGCATTGGAACTGTAATGGGGTTGACGGTCCGTTGTAATACATATTAAGAAATCTCAAGGAATAAGCGTTACTTCAGATTCTTCACGCGTCTTTCTGTATTGCGATGCAAGATGTTAGGTCCGGGCTGGAAGTTTCGGGGATGTGGGTGTTTAGGTTTTTCCCAAAGGGTCCAAAGGACCCAATAATCAGGTACTTAGCTTTCGGATAGTAGTTATGTAGGTTACTATTTGGGAGAGTCTATGACTATCAGGTGTTTGGACCCTTAGGGTTTTTGTTCAAGTGTAGTGGCCCCTTTCTCCCAGGCACGAGCCAGAGGTATGGAACCCACCTGTAACAGGCGTACACAGAGTTCAGGCTTTAGGTGGACTTCGGTGCGCAGAGTCGACTTCGTCACTTGATATCCTATTCCTTATGCAATTGAAAATACAAATTCTTAAAACAGTCGCTACACGAACGACTGAAGGCTGTAAATCTCAAATCCGCAAGCCCTACAGACCGGAAGCCTTAATGCCTGAACAAACATGCCCTGAAACCTAAAAGTCGAAATCCTGAACGAAAACTCCGTAAACAAATACATGGGCATACCTGCATAGGTATACACATTTACATCTATCTAATGTAACAAACACACATACACCTACAACCCTATCCTAAACCCTAGACACATGCACCCATATACCTCCTGTCGCGACCATAAAAGCCTAAAGCCTACACCCATGCCCCTAATTTAGGGGCCTTAATAGTTAGAAGAGGGTGTTGGGGTATATTATACCAGAATTATGATAAGGAACCCCCAAAATAGTATAGGTAATTATTAATAAAGACCCCTACATTATCACCCGCCCCCTTTCCCCGTGCCTGTTCCTCGTCCACCACAAAGGCGGCGATTCCAGCGAGGCTGGTGACCCAATGGGGCACATCTTTGACTTGCAAGGCCTCTCATCGACTCAAAGCGCTTCGATAACCCCATCTTTTAAGGGATCCTAAGTCCTAAACACTTTTCTGGGGGATACTTTCTTTTAAGGGTTCCTAAGTCCTAGATACTTATATGAGGGGATACTTTCCCAAATCATGATTCCTAATCTTCTTTAGGTGTTAGTATTTCGAGCTAAGGTCGTGGGGCTTTTAGGGCGTAGGGTCTTGTGGGGGCCTTAATAATTAGAATAGGGTTTTGGGGTATATCATACTATAATTATAATGAGGAGCCCTCTAACATAGTAGAGGTAATTATTACGGCCCCTATATTACAAGGTTTAGGCTGCACGCTACAGCCCGTCTAGAGGACTTGATAATCAGGATTGCTTATAGGTTCGGACTGATGCTATTGTTGCTGCGTGAGTACAAGGACAACTGCAACGTTTAGCAGACTCATGAATCATGTCGAATTCAAGGCGTTGGGTTTTGGGACAGACTGATGAAGCAGGTCTAGTTTGAGGCGCTGGACCTCCTGAAACATACTTCCCTTTCTTAGCCGCTAAACCCGAAAGCCCTAAACCCCAAACCCCTAAACCCCTAAACCCTAAACCCCTAAACCCCTAAACCCTAAACCCCTAAACCCCTAAACCCTAAAGCCCTAAACCCTAAACTTAGCATGATTCCAGGGCCGGGTCCTTTTCGAGGACCTTTCATCAGGGCTTCTGAAACCCGCGGGGGTCCCCAGAGACTCCCCCACCCCTTACTGAAGGAACCCCAAACCCTAAACCCTAAACCCTAAACCCTAAATACCCTAAACCCTAGGGTTTAGGGTTTAGGGTATTTAAGGTTGAGGGTTTAGGGTTTAGGGTAGGAATAGACTCTACCTTAGGGTTCCTACTACAAAATAAAGTATATTCCTGAATTATCTTATAAGGGTTCCTACTAATATATAAGGCATATTCCTGACGAATCATCTTATGAGGGTTCCTGCTATGGTATAACGTATATTCCGTAATTATCGTATTAGGGTTCCTACTATAATACAGAATATATTCCTTAATTCAGGGGTTTTGGAGTCCAAGACGAGGGCGCCTGGCACAGTGCTACGGCAAAGTGGCAGCAGTTCTTGTGGAGAAGGTCGTAGTCTTCACCTTGGAACCTCCAGTTCAGGGAGGGTGGTGTTTGGGGCTTTCGGGTTTAGGGTTTGGGGCTTAGGTCCTTCGATCTGGTGGCGGAGGCAAAAGAGGCATTACCAGGGGGTTCAAGACTTCAATATGCATCCCTAAACCCTAAACCCTAAACCCTGAGTTGAGGTTTTAGGGCTTAGGGTTCAGGGTTTAAGAGTAAAGGCTCACATGTCGGCCACCTGAAGCCTAAACTTGAAGATGTTGATACATTCTCGAATCGAAATCTTGAGCTTCTTCGTCTTGAGGAATTGATCGTGGACTGCAGGTGTTTCAGCTACCGGGGGCTTACTAATTAAAACAGGGCGGTGGAGTATATAATGCTATAACTAGAATAAGGAACCCCAAAATAGTACTGCTAACACTTTAAGCCCTCGAGCTCACATCAGTCCACTCCAATGCGATCATCCAGTGCGAACCGCGTGGAATCTAATATAGGGGCCTCAATAATTACCAACACTATTTTGGGAGCTCCTTATTCTAATTATCGTACAACCTTCCCCAAAGCCCTGTTCTAATTAGTAAGGCCCCTGTATTGCACCCAAAGCCTATCACACTCAGGGTAAAAACCTCGAGACCTTAAAGCACGGCTAAGGGCTTGCCTGTAGCCGGAAAACCTAACTTTTTAGGGTTCTTTATGATGGTTACTATACCTTAAAAAAGGTCGGTCTTTTTGGCTACAGGTAGGGTGTAGGGTTTAAGGGTTTAGGGTTGGGGTTTAGGGTCTAGGACTTCGGGACCCGGAACTCTAAGACCCCTATATCACATATCAATGACTTGCTCTTACGTCCGCAACTCGCAGGCAACTCTCCTTCCTCCTTAAGCATCTCCAGATGAACTCCCTCAGAACTGGGCCGTTCGTATCAGCTACTCTACAGGCACATACCCGGACCTTCCAAACTCCCTTAAATAAGGAATAATAAAGAATCTACCTTACATTGTAATAGGATCCCCTATGTGATTAGTAAGGAATCTACCTTACATTGTAGTAGGATCCCCAATGTGATTTAGGGCCATACTCCTGAGCTAAGCGATATTGGAAGGTGTGGGTAATGCTTTACAGGCCCCTGAACCCTAAGCCCTAAATTCCAACTGAGGAGCTCCCCCTCAAGCTTGACAATAGCCTCCTTCAGCTCCTCTTGGGGCATTTCGTCCAGGTGTCCCTAAACCCTAGGTTTAAGGCTTCAGGGTTCAGGGACTTTGGGTTTAGGGCTTAGGGCTCAGGGGTTTAGGCCTCGGTAGAAACCAAAACGTTGGAAAATCAAGTATAAGGTAGAGTCTAGGGGATGCCAACACGAATCATCCAGGGTTTAGGGTTTAGGGTTTAGGGTTCAGGGTTTAGGGATTTAGGGTTCCAGGGCTCGAGAGTTCTAGGGCTTAGGGTGACTGCTTCCGGGATTAGAGACGTCGCTCATTCAGGGCGCTACGGTCTGAGAGAATGTAGGAACCTGATTCAGACACCTTGGGTGCTCGATATGAATCCTATATAAGAACCTGATTCAGACAGCTTGGGTTCTCTACATGAATCCTAATACAATATTGGGGTTATAGGGCCAGGGCTTCTGTATTAATCAAGCTTCACACTACCGTGTTGCAGGGCTTCAGGGTTTAGGGTTGCAGGATCTTTCGCGCGCTTTGGGACCTCAGGCTGCAGCGGCGTAGAAACGTTGCGGCTTTGGGTTTGGGGCGTAGGTCTTGAGGGTTGCAAGTCTTGTGCTTCCTGTGACTCACTGCGGATAGCTTGTCAACTGAGGG